AGCTCCCGGGCGATGAAGGCGGAGGCCTGCGGGGGCAGAAGCTCCACGCACTTCTGGACCACAAAATTCCCGTGGAGGTGCCTCGCGCGCTTGCACCCACGGGGGGGGGGGGGGGGGATCGACGCTGGCGACCAATAACATATTAACTAGGTCCTCCAAATTCGAGAGGTTAGAATAAGTAGGGGATCTCACACGCTTTCACGGGAGCACGGAGGATGGGAGAGCACATACATGGGGTGGGTGGGAGAGGACCTACCAAAACTGAGAGACCCAACCGCAATCTCTTCACACCAAGCTGGCTGTGGAGCCTCCGGGCCAGAGAAAACGGAAAGTGGTGTCCCCTGGTTGGCAGAGCCGTTTCCTGACAGGCCTTTGCAACTTGCAATGCCCATTAGAGTGACATTCGTTTGCGCTCAACACCCCCACCCCCAAAAAAAATGCAAAAAATTGCCCATCCCCCGGGCCAGGTGTGTCAACTCTGCGGGATGCTTCGATGAAGGGCACCGGCATGCAAAAAAAGTGTCAAGAGCTTCCCTGCCGCAAGCTCCCGCACCATGCGGGCCCTGGCAAAGCCTTCGGAAAGTGCTGGCCCTCCAGTGAGTCGGAAGATGCGAACTGATCGGCAAAAGGCAACAGAATGACAGGCCCAGACTTGCACACAACCCGCAAGAGGCCAAATCGAGAATATACTAAAAAACGCGCCGGCCCTGGACTCGAAGCCTGTTGTTAATCCGCTTGGCACGCAGAACTGCAAAACACTTGCGCAGTGCATGCCTAAAGGGCAGGGGATCATCTGCGCACACAAATCTGGATCATCTGTACACACAGGCTTTCCTCACTTATTGCGCCATGCATTCTGGATCATCTGCGCACACAAGGTTTCTGTCATCTGGCTCATCTGTACACACACACACACTTTTGGCAGGGTGGGGGGGTGGGGGGGGGGGGATTGGTAAGCACACCCGCTCAAGTGCGCCCGCTCAGCACTGTGGGGGGGGGGGGGGTGGTGGGGGGGAGGGGGGAATGGTAAGCACACCCGCTCAAGTGCACCCGCTCAGCGCTGTTTCCACGCATGCGGAAGAGTAGCCCGAAGGGGTGGGGGGTGGGTGGGGAGGCGGGGGAATGGTAAGCACATGCCTGCCACCTAATAAGCATACCCGCTCACGTGCAACAGATGGGGTGCGGTATTGGGGAAGGGTGGGGTGGGGGTGGGGGCTGGGGCGGGGCGGGGTGGGGCACACCCGCTCACGCGCGTCCGCCTAGCGCTGCATCCACGCTTACCACCTAATAAGCACACCCGCTCACGCGCGCCCGCCCAGCGCTGCACGCATGCCTGCCACCTGATAAGCACGCCCACTCACGTGATTTACCCCGAAAGTCTGTCCCCCTGATTTACACACGAAGTGCAAGAGACTTGTCAAACCTTTAATGCAAGAACATATACACCACATTCTTTACCCCGAGCAAAATTGAGAGCGGCTGACAGAGGTAAACCGCACAGGAGACAACGGAACACAACATTTCCTATGTTCATACGACAGAAAGGCAAGGAAACATGCAGCTGTCAACGCCCCTGTCCCTTCTTGTGCATAGCAGTAAGCACTGCGTGTACAAACGATCCGGGGCAAAAAAGGCCCGCGTGCAGAGACGATCCGGTCCCGCGTGTACAGACGATCCGAATTCCGCGTGTACAGACGATGCACTGACCATGCCTAAATCACAAGCTTCTGCGATCATGACATGGGGCCGGTGTCAGGCTTTGAAAGCGGTGCTTGCAACAAAAACCTGCAACATCCACAAGGGGCCGTCCATTGGAGACACCCATGGGCTCATGTCCACACAAGCACCTATCCATTGTTTGCGGGGCCTATCCATCCATGGTCAGAGTGGCACTCGGTGAAATCGCACCGAAATCGTGCTCAGGCATGGGGGGGGACATTCCCACTCCCACAAGGGCTTCTCCTCGGGCATCCGAAGAAGAAGCAAATCCGAAGTCTCCACCGAGATGCTGGCTACACAGCAGGACTTTGCCTGCCAGCTCGGTCTCAAAGGCGGCACACAGTTCAGCAGCAGCGCCCTTCCTGACATCGCCAGTGAATCTCTACTGGCACTGGGAAAAGGCGATGCAGCGTTTCCTGATGTTCGGGAGCCGCTTAAAAGGGAGGACAAACCTTGTAGCCTGCAAGCTAGGCGAGCTCGAATAAAACGCTGCTTTCGGTTGTGTGCGCACTTCCAGGCAGCTCGCCTCAGATCCAAACAGATTAAATTGAGCAGTGTGTTTTTCAATGTTGAAGTGCAAAGGCACTAGTGGAAACCTTTCAACATTGTGGACCATGCCGACGACCTGTTTGCTGCCGACTTTTCTGCAAATCACCCTCTTGGGGGCAAGGGGCTGTATAGGCATTCAACGTGTTTGATTGCTCCCTTTCGGGTCCAGTTGTCCGGGTCATCAAAAGACAGTCCAAAACACACCGGGCAGAAATCTAGAAAAAGCAGGCAGCACAGAAAGGCCAATATGACTATGCCTACGCGTCGCAAACCTGCACTCATGAACAGTTGAGTGAAGAAGGAATCCAGGCTACTCGCAACAAAACGCAAGACCGGAATCCTACTGCATGGTGTTCTGGCTGAAGTTGATTGCCTTTTCATTCACTGCAATGTCTGCAACCATAAGTGGTGCTCGAACCACTTCAACTGGCCGATTTACTGCAAGGAACAAGCATTGCCCGGGCTCAAATGCATCTCCGTCTCCGTGTTTGACAGTTTGAAACTACGCACCTCGCAAATCCACCGCTTCAGGCTTCACTCAAGAATGAGGCGAGCAGAGTTGTGGGTGACCGCAGCCTTCTTCCTCCGCCTCTGAGACCCTTGCACCAAGGCACTCGAGCGCTCGCTGCACCACCCAGCACCCCCTCTTGTCCCGCGTCAGCTTGAGCAGGGACCCCGCCAATCCACCAAACAGCCGCCTCGAGACGCGGCTAAGGAAAAGGTGGCTGGCCGGCTGGCACCTGATTTGACGAGTTGTTGAAAGCGATGCATCTAAATAGGAAGCCTCGCGTGTCCCCGGAAAGCCAGGCGTTGAATCTTGCGGGATGCCTTAAGCCTCACGAGACCGATGCAAGCCATGAAAGCTCAGCGAGGTGTGGTCAAACTTTGCTTCGGCGACGTGACTCTGAGGCCCCACCTCCGGAGATCTGGAGCAAGCCCCGGGAGGCTCATCAGCGAGGTGATCACCTGCGGCACGGTTTTGGCGAACGGCCTCAAAAGTGGGGATCGGGCCGAAGGATTTCTGTGAGAAACATCGTGTTCGATCTGTTTGCCAGGCCTTCCATGAAAACACTGGATTTCAACTCGGAACCGAGCTGCTGGAAGCAGCAATGCGTCAGACCCAAGCTGCGAGTCGGCCCATTGCCGTTCCGCGCCTGACTCGCTTGGGCGTCGCAGCACAGCCGCGGCAGCTGCGGAAGCATCGCAGCCACCAGCTCCTTGGAGAGCCCAGCGGGCGGTGAATGGAAGGAAAAAATGGTGGCCCTGCCCACCAGGCCACTTACCCACGAGAAAAGCATCAGCAAGGGAACAAACCGCAGCGCATCTTTGAGCCATTTTGAGCCAATGCCAGGATGGCCCAGGAAAATTTGGAACGTCTCACTGATCAGGCCCAGATGGTTCCGAGCATCCCAGCAAAAGGCATCCAGGGTCGCGCCGCCCAGGCGGGCGAATTGGGAGCAGGTGAGCTCGGCGCCTTCCTGCGCGGGCGACCGGGCGTGCATCTTGGCCAAAGGCGTGCGGGAGCAAATTCCGCACAAACCCCCGCAAAACAGGGCGGGTTTCAAAAACGCTCCACCCGCACTTCCCGCATCTCCCATCTCCTCGCCCTCAAACCAGGGCGGGAGTAAAAAGAACGGGAGTGTTCCGCAAAAGCCCTCAAAACCAGGGGCGAGTTTGAAAAAAGCCTCCCATGCCCCAGGGCGGGTGTTAAAGCTCCCCCCTCCAATTCTCCCCCAGAAACAGCGGTCCTTGGTCCGCACCGCGGCCACCACTTTGCTCCGCGCGTCCTCGAGGATCTCGGGCGGCGGCGCCGGCGGTGAGGCGTCGCCCGGAAGCCGCCGGAGGCGCTCCAGACCGGGCGGCGCTTGGAAACGGCACGGCATGCAGTACGGCTGCAGGACCTGGCTGGAAAAAGGAGACATCGAGGAAAGGAGAAAGCAGAGAGAGAGAGAGAGAGAGAGAGAGAAAGAGAGAGAGAGAGAGAGAGAGAGACAGAGAGAGAGAGAGAGAAAGAAAGAGAGAAAGAGAGAAAGAGAGAGAAAAAAAAAAAAGAGAAAGAGAGAAAGAGAGAAAGAGAGAAAGAGAGAAAGAGAGAAAGAGAGAAAGAGAGAAAGAGAGAAAGAGAGAGAGAGAGAGAAAGAGAGAAAGAGAGAAAGAGAGAAAGAGAGAAAGAGAGAAAGAGAGAAAGAGAGAAAGAGAGAAAGAGAGAAAGAGAGAAAGAGAGAAAGAGAGAAAGAGAGAAAGAGAGAAAGAGAGAAAGAGAGAGAGAAAGAGAGAAAGAGAGAAAGAGAGAAAGAGAGAAAGAGAGAAAGAGAGAAAGAGAGAAAGAGAGAAAGAGAGAAAGAGAGAAAGAGAGAAAGAGAGAAAGAGAGAAAGAGAGAAAGAGAGAAAGAGAGAGGGATGTCGATTTTTTGTTCACTCATGGGCCCTACCTGCTCCCCCCACCTTCATGGGAGAGCTCGGTGACATCTCGGGTCCGGTGTCGCGCTGGCAATCGCCGGCGGTCATGCGGCGGCTAGGCACGCCCTAAGTTGAGCCGTAAATTCCTGCGGTATGGCCATGGACCAGAGGAACCTAAAGGGCCTCCAAAACCGATGGCTGGCATGGAGCAGGTACAATGAGCGAGACTCCTGCCTTCAGACTCCAGCCATCCTTTTGCTGCCGAAAAAAGAAAGAAAAAGAACGTCATGCCGCTCGTTGACTAAGCGACATTTGAGTGAGAAACTTCGGTCCTGGGCCAAGGTCTCCCCGGCAGGCTGCGTATTGGGATCTTCTGACTGCTCCTGGCAGTGAAGGCTCCCTTCATGTGTTGGAGCAAGCTCAAGTTTCGCGGCACCCATGTCACACACCTTCAGGCCCCAGCTTTGACTGGAGTGAGGCTCCCGGTGCAGAAGGAAGACCTCTTGTTTCAAGCACTCGCCTTGCTGTTTGGCGCACCATGAACCAAGAGCTAAAAAAGGCGGCTCCAGCATAAACACAGCGGGGATGCCAAGTGGTGCAGCTCCTGGTTGATCTGCTGCGCATCCGGGTGCTTGCCCTGCTGGCCATTGCTCTGCTGGTCGGCGGTGTCCCCATCCCCCTGGGCGTCGTCCCTGGCAAGGGCATGGAAAGAGCCGCGTCGTTCCAACGATTGTCGACGGAACAAGTGTTCAAACGGACGCTGACAAACCTGAGCATAAGGGTCCTTCTTGGGAAAATGAGCCCTCTATTTTTCAACCAAATCCAACCAAAAAGGACACCTATGAGCCCAAGCCGGCCACCGCAGACGTGGAAACTAGGCAATGTATCTCTAGGGGGCTTGGCCGGCGTGGTGATTGGCGCAACCTCCCAGCAAGGGAAACCAGAATCAGAGGGACAGGAAGGAGAACCGCAACAGCAAGCATCAACCTCCATGTCAAACGTGTCAATTGTGGAGAAGTTACGGGTTCAAGCTGCATTTGTGCGCCCAAAATTATGTTGTTGACTTCATTCTTGACTTGCCCCGCTCGGCCCAACCAGCAAAAAAAAAAAAAAAAAACATCCTGAGCGGCCCACCTGGACTTGTCCTGCCCACCCCCCTGAGCTTTGGCATCCTCCGCAGCATCCCCCATGGCCTCGCTCAGCTGCACTGAGATCCTCAGCGAGAGAACCCAGAAGTCCAGCAAAACCAAAACCCAAAACAACGCAGTTGATCCCCCTACATTCTGGGCGTGTCTTTCTTGAAGGGAATTACCCCCCCTCGATTTGTTTGTGGCTGTAAGAGGATACCAAATTTAGTTGTTGGTTCCTTTTACCAAGTACGCAGGTTTTAGTGGTTCAATTTACAGTACCAAGTGGGCCATTTGGGAACGCTTTTTTGAGCCACAGCCATGCTGCTTCACAGATCCAACAGCGTTCCTCACAGCGAGAAGCTGCTTCTCACCTGCCGAGGTGCTCCAGCAGGCGGAAAAGGAGTGGGTCGATGAGCTCGGGGTACCTGCGGGGCAGAACTGCGCTTCGCTGGCTGTGAATTTGAATGGGGACTGGGGGGGTGGGGGGTTGGGTTGGGTTGGGTTGGGTTAAGTTGGTTTGAGTTCGGTTGGGTTGGGTTGGGATGGGTTGGGTTGGGTTGGGTTGGGTTGGGTTGGGATGGGATGGGATGGGATGGGATGGGTTGGGTTGGGATCGGATGGGATGGGATGGGATGGGTTGGGTTGAATTTTAGGGTTGGGCGTGTTTTGCACTTTCTTCACATTCACTAGTGAAAAAACCGCCACCCCAAATCCTAAACCAAGCGCGTCCCCATAGCCCGTCACGAGGGCCCTGCCCCCTACAGGTAGCAACACTTCCTGAATGCAACTGTCTTTGTTGTTGGCGGTCTCTAAAGAAGCATGGAGGAGATATGGTGATGAAGGCACAAAACAGGCTGCGAGCCAGTCCGACTCCCTGACTTCAAACCCGCGTCAGCGACACGACGTGGCCTCCGGGTGAGCCGCGGCAGGTCGAGGTCCCGCAGCGTCTCGGTCCACATCTGCCGCAGACTTGCCATCGGCCAGCTCGCCTCGCGATACGAGAACCGAGCCCACGTCGGCCGGCCGACCTGGCCCCGGAGGTGGAGCCTTGTGGGTTTTGGGTTGGGCTTTTGGGGGACGCAGCGGCTTCTGGTATGCTTAGAATTTAGGGGTGGTTTACGGATGGCTTGGGGTGGGTTTTGGGTAGGTTTAGAACCCTCCAACTGGTGGTTCCCCGGTTCATTCCATGCCTCATTCCTCCAGAGGTACCTTCCCCATTCTTTCCAGGGATCCTTCTTCTCAGGAAACCATCAAAAATCCAGGGGAAACCGATCCAGTTTTTGAAAAGAACGCTGGTTGAAAAGAATGCACAAGGAATCAACCCCCAAGGAATTCCCTGCAACGAGCGCACCAGCCGGGTTGAAAACAACAACAACAAAAAAAAAAACGCGCCGCCTCTTCCCAGACTTGCCCGCCCTCCAAGGCCCGACGCCAGCCGTCGAGCCCCGCGGCAATCTGCTGCCAGCCGAAGGAGGCATCTGCCTCGCCAAATCGAAACCGCCAGCCCGAAACAGCCAGCCAGTCGCCCCAAAAACACCCAGCCATGGGGAAAAATGTGCCGGAGAATCCTCTTGCTTTTGGTGTGCAGGGAAAATCCTCTTGCTTTTGGGGAGGCTTCTCCTTCTTCTTTTTGGTGGGTATTTGGCAAACTTCCTGTAGAATTGCCTGTGGCTGGGTTGTCGAGCCTGGCATTTGCCAGAACTAAGTCATGTCCACCCTGGATTCATAAACCTTATGGGACTGTTCGTGGTGCCCCCCCCCCCAAAAAAAAAAGTTTGATATAGATACCGTTGCCAGTTTCACGAGTTCCTGCTTGTCGCTCTGCCGGGCATGCCGAGTGAATTCTCCGAAAGAAACAGGAAAGCACGTGCCTTTCCGGAAGGCAGGTTCTGCAGCGGTATCCCCGCCCAAAAAACTGCCCGTCAGCTGCTGGCGATTCTTGCACTCAGCTGCCGGAAAGCGAAACAAAAGGTCACCTAGGCATCTGAAAGGCATCCAGCTGTCCAGCTCCAGCAACCACAACGCACCCCGCGCCCTTCCTCCTCCGCGCGCTGCAGAAGGGGCCAGGCACTCTCCGGCACCCCTGCCAGAGGGTCGGACCTAAGTCACGAGCGAGCAGCCCATTCTCTAAGACCCCACATTTCGTCTACCGATGTGCTGTGAACCGGCCACGGCCCAGCCACAAAATAATTGGCCACCAGGCCCCATCTCTTTTCGTTTTGTCCAAGGGCAATTACCCTGCTCAGGTATGACATGTCGCATGACATGTGGAGGGTACCCCCGCCCCTTATGCTTGAAACCTGTCACATACCCGCTTTCTTGCCCTTTACTGTGGATGGACGAAATCCTGCACCTCTTGGAAACCATGCAAAACCATGGTTGGTTGGCATTTACAGGGGAATGAGCATTCCAGGGTTTCTTAGGTGGTGCGAAACGGATTTCGTCCATCCACAGTCACAAGTATTGAGGGATGCGCCTCGAGATGCGCCTGGCCAGCCGAGATCTCATGGCCGCCGCCGCCGCCAGGCCGGCGGGCAGAAGCCCAGAGAGGGCTGAGGCGAGCCGAGCTGGCGACCCGCTTTGACGGATCGGCCAAAACCCCAAATCCTGAGAAGTGGTGGCTTGTTTCTTTCTTTTTCCTGTTTTTGGTCTTTTCTTTTTGTGTGACAGCCCGAAAGATTCAAACCCTTGAGTCACATGAAGTGGGTGGATCACCTTCCCATTTCAACAAACTATCTGTCTCGCAACCGCTTCCACTGCATTGACCCAGGTCGATGCGAAATCCAACGCCTCCGCCTCTGGGCTTCTCAGAGGGCCGGGCGCGTGTCGCTCGGGGGGCGGCCAATCGGGGCCCCCAGGGCCCTGCACTTGGCGCCCACATCGCCATGTCACGTGCCTTCCTTCTGCTGCAAGAGGTTGAGGAACATGTGGTGAGTATTTGCGTGTTGTATATGCATAGAAGCTCGAACCATAGTTCGTCCAAACATGGCATTCTTGAAGCTGAGTTGATGTCATCTGGCTATGCAAAATGCTGGACAGCCAGATCGCGCATGCATCTTCAAGTAGCAATTTCTGAAGCGAGCCCAAGTGACAAAATGTTCATACGACTTCCCCCTCTTCAACTCTCAACACGGCAAAGGGAGTGCACTGCAAGAGAATTGCAAACATGACATGCCTCTTCGCAAAGGTGAACTGCTTCTAGCATCGCGAAAAATACAAGTAAACTGATACCAGCGCGTATTTCAAGGCTGTTGACCTTGGTCAGTTCCAAAGTACTGATGGTCACCTAGCGGCTCACAGGGTGCAAATGATTGTGAGCGTGCGGAATACAGAGCAAGAGTGCACTTCATCCTCCTGGAGTCCACGGCAAGCCTTGCAAACAGACTGCAACGAAGCATTCCCAGTGTTTCAAGGGCGCTGGGCGCCACTGCCAGCATGAAAGGCAGCACCAGCAAATTTGTGTTTGAAGGTTCTCAACTATGAGATCCACACAAAGCCGCAGCCAACTCTCCTGGCATCCACCCAAATTCCCGCCCCCCCCCCCCGCCCCTGCCTGCCCCCCCCCCCCACCAGCCAAGGGCCAAGGGTGGCGCCTCCTTGGCGCGGGTGCTCTCCCACCAGAGGAAGCGCCCAGAGACCGGCAGCCCGGCGGCCTGGAACAAGAATCCTCTCGCCGGACCCGACGAAACGAGAAGCGAGGCCAAAACAGGCCGCGCCCCACAAACTTGCAGTGACTCAGAACATCATGAGACAAATGTGCCTGGGGAGCCCCTTGAAGCAAAGCAAAAGAAATAGGGGATGGTGTTTTTTGGTTGGGTCCTTCCCTCATTCCCGGGGCACCAGCAAGCCCGAAGCCGCGCCTCGAACGCCGCCAGCGGAAAGGGCGAGGGGAGCGGCTGCACCGTGCTGACAGTTGCCTGGCACATCGCAATCGCGCCGTCGGGCGAACGCGGCAAGACATCCTCTCAAGCTTGCGAAATGCAAGCAGGGTAGGGCTTGGCTTGTGCCACAACCATCTGTGTTCCCAGCATAAGGCCAACGGGCGATTGTTTGTGCCTTTTGTGCTTACTGGCCCCTCTTCCCGGCCCACGGCCCTCCGGCCCTCCCTGCCCGACTAGCGAATCGGCAAATTGGTCCGCCTCAGCCGTCGCCCTCCGCCGAACCTTGCCCGCGGCAAGAGTTGCACAAACTGCTGCTGCAGCACCTGAACGGGCAAGTGTGCAGCTTGATTTGAATTAAATCTGCGCACAGCGCACTAATTTGGGCAATTCAAACGACAAAACAAAACACAACCGCAAAAACTTCGCTGCGAGTGTGCCCTGGCCTGTGCTGAAGCGTGCCCCTGGCTGCGGGCATCGGATGTGTCCATCCGGAACCTATGAGAGCTTGCAGCCCCACAACTCAAAAGCGTTCACTTCGGATGAACAAGACGTGCATCCAGCCTTGAAGCCTTGGCTGGCCTGCACCGCGCTCCGTGGCGCAGCGGGGAACTGCAGCATGCAGTCCGAGACAAGTTTGACAGCTGGACGCAAAGCATGTGGTCCTGTTGGTTTTGGGGCATGCTAGCTCACACTCAATGTCACATTCACAATTCCGTGTATTCAGCCATATTTCTGCGTGCCACCTCGCAGCCGAAAGCTTGTGGTGAGCATGCAAAACCTGTTTGCGATCACAGCACAGCGCGTGCTCAGCGTCCATCGTAACTTATCTCAAACAGCAGGCCACAAGCAAACAAGATAGTTTTCCACTTGACGTCAGACAAAAAGAAACTGGCGGGAGTCAGCTCACCCGCGAGTGGCTGGCCCACTCGCAGATCCACGGCTCCCTTCGCCTCGGCCGGTGACCGATTTGCTTCTCTTGCCTGGCTTTTCCCCCTACACTGTTGTACCGGGCCACGAGGAGCCCTACTGCCCGGCATGGGGGAAGGCTTGGGAGGCACAGGTAGCCACGGCTCGGGTGGCGGGCGCGGCGCTGCGCAGGCCTAAGCCACTGCCGGACGTACGTGGCCCAGCCTCCGCGCCCTGGGGCCACTCGCGCAAACAGCGCGGGCCTCCTAGGAGCCTCGAAGCCGCATTCAACCAAGCGCACAGGCACTGGGCGCCGCTTCGGTCTGATTACGCCTTTCGCGTGCTTCCCCCTTAATCTGACCGCAGGCTGCGCCAGTGACAAAGCTATGCAGCATCCTTACTGCACGCGCCTACTGCTAAGGCCCCCAAAAGGTGCTGAAGGACGTGCCCTACCGTTGGACCCACACTGGGTTGGTGGTGCAACAGCAACGCGTGGCAAAGGAAACTGTCCTTTTTTTGCTGGCCGATGCTTGCAAAAATGCTCTCAACATGCTACACGGGTGTCTCAACACTGCTTCGACATCACACGCTGGGTGCTCGGATCGCGTCAGCTGCTGCAACGAGCTTCCCCAAAACAACAACTGTGAGCTATTTGCGGGTTGGAAGTGGGTGGGATAAGCAGGTTGCCTCCCAGGCTCGTTTCAAAGCGGAACTCCAGAAAGCCATAAAACTGGAAGCTCCGTACTACCTGGTTGCACACACCCTGCCAGCCGACCATGCGTTCATCCAACCATACTGCTCTCTGGCCGGATGAGTAGCGGTCGCGGGCTGACAGCTTTGCCGGTGCTCCAACGGCAAGCCCCCAAGTTGTTGCAGCAGGTGTTGTCGGGCCCCGGCTCTTTGGCAGCTTCCGTGCCATGCTTACGGTCAGCCGCAGCTGCCGCGCTCGCCGTGTCTCGTCCTGGCCTGAGCTCCTCGAAGGTTCCCAGCTCCCCGCTCTCCCTGACGAGACTGACGGTCTCTTCGTCACGGGCGACCCCGCCCGTGGCTGGCAGCGGCAAGCGACTGCTGCCGTTGAGGACCAAGTTTTCCAGGGCTTGTCCGCCGGCCTCGACCCTGCAGCCCTCGCCCTGCTGGAGTCCCAGCAAGGCCCTTTCGCCAGCAGGGTCCTTACGGCCACCCCGACGGTCCCCGAACTTACCACCCCTTCACACTTGTTCTGGACGGTCTTGCTCCGTCGCCTCCGTCTCCCACTCCCTGTCACTGAAAACACATGCCGATGCCATCGCCGTTTGGACCCTCTTGGCGACCATCGTGCAGCGTGTTCAACGTCCGGGGTTCTGCGGAGCCGTGGGCGCGGCCTTGAGCGAGCCGCTGTTCGGGTCTGCCGTGAAGCTGGGGCACGGGTGACTTCCAACACCCGCCTGGCTGACCTCAACCTGGCCGTCGATCGCCTCGACGACCGCCGGTTGGAAGTCGTCGCCAACGGTCTCCCGCTCTGGGGCGGCGCCCAACTCGCCGTTGACACAACTCTCGTGTTCGGCCGGCCGGCCTCGCCGGCGTGGTGGGCGCACTCGTGGCGCAGCGCTCGTTGAAGCCCGCCTGCGGAAGGGGCGCGCCTACCCCGAGCTCCTCCCGGCCCACCAGTGCCGCCTCGTTGTCCTCGGCCTTGAGGTCGGTGGCCGGTGGGGCGAGGAAGCTGCGTCCTTCGTCCGCCTCCTCGCTCGAGCTCGGGCGCGTGAAGTCCCCCTTCCCTTCCGCTCCGCCACGGCTGCCGCCTTCGTTGCTCGCTGGTCGGCGTTCCTGCCCTTTGCGGCTCAGCTGTCCTTCGCCGAGTCTTTCCTCGAAGGTCGCGTCAGCGCTGGGTTTGGCGGCGCTGGGCCCGACCTCAGCGAGCTCCTCGCCGGCTCGGCTTGCCCGCCACCCCTGGTCACCCGTTTTCGGTGACGGTTTTTGGCGCCCCCACCCCTCCTTAGTGCCGGCCCACGCCACCCCTTGACTGTGCTTGTGTCCTAGTGCCCGGGACTCCCCCTTAAGCACGTGTTTCACCGCTTGGGCAGACGCAAAAAAGGTGCGTGAGAAAAAACAGACTAACAATCAGGTAGCATGCCCCAATAGGCAAATCATCACACACACTTGGCGATACGGGTGGGCGACTAACTGCGTGCTTGCTTTCTTTGCTCCGCTGCCCTGTGGGGCCGTGCGCCGTCAGCTGCCCGCGCGAGGAATATTGAAGTGAAGCGCTGGCTGGAAAGGATGCCAGGACACACCTGTGTGTGTGTGTATGTGTGTTTTACATGTTTTCTTTTCCCTCGCGCCTTTTTCCGCTGCACCAAGTCCTTCCCCAAAACAAACCATTGAAGGCTGCTGGCCGTTCATACGCCAGCAACCCACACCGTCAAGCTGCCCTGCTGGCCATGGGCACTCTCGCAGCCGTTCGCTCCAATGGGCACCCTCGCACCTGGCAGAAGCTGCACTGTGGTCGCCGAACGAACTCGAAGACTTGCTGCCCTCCCGAGACGCAGCTCGGGCCCAGCATGTGGTCGACGCGGAAGGTGTTTTTTTTCCGCGCGCCTTTCTCCGCAGCATCACAGCAGCTACGAGGTGAAACACAACGAGCGGCGGGCGCAAGCTCAACCGGGCAGGCGGCTCGGCGCAGGCCCACTCTCCCACCTGGCGTCGACGAGGAGATCGCTCACCGGCGGCTCGGCGCCATCACGCTGCGCGGCGACTGCGAGGAGGGCAGTCCACCGCCGCACGTACGCCTGCACAGCGGCTCCGCGCAGCAGTTCGAGGACACGGCGCCACTTGGGGGAGGCGGGCGGCGCAGCGGGGTAGGGGAGTTGCTGGCACAGCTCAAGGTCGTTCAGAATCAGCCGGCTGCCGTCGCAGGCCACGCTCAAGCTGTTCGTGGTCTCGCTGTAGGTGGCGGTGCCGAAGTTGGAGCTGACCCAGGCTGCCAGCGGGCGCCCGTGTAGGCCCCCTTGAGCAGCGCCCAGTTCAGCGTGCCGAGCGCTGCGTCCGCTGCGACAAAGGAGGGCGCTGGCACCGAGTTTGCTGGGCTGCAGCAAAGGCACGGCCAGGCATGTCAGCTACGAGGCGGCAAGCGCGGATGCGATGGCA